GAAAAAAATAAATACTGTGGCTGAAAAAGAGGTACAAAAAGGTAGTGTAAGTTAATCTTGAAGCTGCATGCAAAATAATTGTCTGATTTTAACAAGTCAAATGCTGATGTAAAACCATATACTATATGTTTTTTCATATTGTACCTAATAATTTGTTCCTGCGGTTCAATATTGTGCCTCCAGCAGCGGCCAATAATTGAGGTTGGGAAGACAGAAACAGTACACAACATATATAGCTGGATCTAACATCTGGCACTGAGGATTCTTACTCATAGACTACTAACTGCTTTGTCTCCATTTTTTCATACACAACTGCTAATTAAATATTAATACTAACCTGGTTTCTCCTAGAGCTTTGTGTGGCTGATGCATTTCTTTCATTAGCTTATCTGCATTCTGAAGAGCAACACCACTTCCACAACCTGCAACAATACAGTAGTATTTGCATAAAAGCAGTATAATTCACTGACCAGTAACACAATGCAAATGCAGTTATTTTTGGACATTAAAATATTTTAAAGAAATACAGGAAGTAACTATCAGGGAAAAAAAAAAAAAAAGCACGCATGTTTCATTTGTATAAGATACCTATACATAATTCCTGTTAATTTTCGGAAATGTGAATGCATAAATCTGAATTATTTTTAGTTATTTAGGTAAGTGTATTAATTCAATGTACTATAAAAGCAAAGAACATCTTAAAAAAAATCCACTTACAACTCCTATTTCAGAAGAACAGAAATGTAAGGAAAATATTGACAGAAACTCTGCAAAAATAGAACATTTAAAAATAGGAAAGCTATTAAAACCAAAACAAATCTCAGAACTTTTTAAAGGTGAAAAATAACTCTGTTTGGTGTCCTTTTTTTTGTAGTTGCTTGGTTTTGACAAGTAGCCAGATTTTCAGTTAATATTGTCCTTTTTCTTCTTCAAATTCCACATTACACTTCATGCATATAAATTTTCATTATACTACCTTCTTTGTTTCTCCTCCTATTTTGTTCATTGTCAGACATACTGTCCTTAGATGTATTAAGGTCCAGAAACCTGAAAAAAAGTTTCATGAATTGATTTCCAATACACATGTACAAAGCAGTACTTTATATTTCACTATTTCAGAGCCATAAGAAGGAGAAAAGAAACATTTTAAAAGTACTTGAAATTATTAAAAATGTTATAATTTAACAACATCCAATGCCCTCTCCTGCAAATACACAGAACCAAACGGTTCAGACAGTTTTTATTGCTAAAAACTCAACATATGCGATGTTGAATAAGACATGAAAGCTATCAGTATTATTTTGCTGATATCATCCTCACTGTTGGACCAGAAAATCAACACTTCACATTTGGGAGATAACTGCATTTTTAACATATTACTGAGAAACCAAATCTGAATTAAATGTGTATCTTTCTCTACTAGGTCAAAACTAACTCTCAGCTGAAGAGGTTCAACATCCAAAACTTTCTGAGCACAGAATAGCTTGTACTCTCCAGCCTCAACAAATCTCTTTGATAGCTTATTCCAAAAAAATGGGAAGTCAACTGCAATCTTTTTATAAATTTCAGAAAATTATGTAATTTACTTTGTAAATAATTTTTAAGTATCTTGAGAAATAACTGGCCCATAATACAGTCTAGTTTTAAACATATGTTCAAAACTTAGCTGGGCATTTTCCTCTACAGAGCCAGTGCATCCAGACTGATTTGACTGAAAACATTAACAAAAAAATCTCATTGACAGCAACAAGGTATAAATTTCACACTTTATCTCAGACCTATTATAAATTCATAAATACATAAATGATAATGTATTCTCTCAGAATATTTACAAAGGTAAATTTTTTAGGCGTTTAAAATTTTTAGACCTTATAAAAAAATAAGTAGCCATTATATTTTTGCCTTTGAATTTCTGTGACCTGTGCCAGGCATCTGACTGAATTTGACATAACCAAGAGTCACTAATCTAGACAAGAGTTAGCCTGTTAAGTTACTGGTAGTATACTTTTGTTTCTCACTTAAAACTATTGTATTGTCAGAAACAGTTTCTTAACCATAAGTGTACCTTTTTTGAGCACCTTAGTACCTCTGTATGTTTAGAAAAATATATTATTAAAATTGTATTAAATTTATAAACCCAAAACTCTTTAAAGTTTACATTGAATTAGTATTACAGACATTAGCTATTTTAACTCCTGGTTGTTGAGAGACACAACAGTAGCTCAAGGAAATGAATAACAGATATCCATGTACCATCTGTAGTCTGGCACCGTACACTGTTGGCCTTCTATGAGGGTATATGAGCTTTATACGCCTGCGTGGGACACTTGAAAGAGACTGCCATCAGGATTCCCAACTAATGCTTTGATATCTTTAGAGATAAACCTTTAAACATTCCATATAGAGATAAACTCATCGATAAATAATCACTTGCATATTCAAAGTTATGCTTTTACAGTATTTCTAAATTCAGGCAGAAACAGAAGTAAGAATAATGTTCATTGTGAGTACTCACGCCTTGTATTTGCAGTTTAACATAATAGGATTTTCAGTGAGATTTACAAGCCCACAACAACCAAGTCAAACATTTAAAAAAAAATTAAAACAGCGAGTATTTCTCTCTTTGGACACTTATTTTCTACATCTTATGTTAACAATTGTATGCAGAAGTAACAGTAGATAGCTATGTGCTCATCCAAACTGGCAGCAAAGTCATAGTCTACAATGCAGGTTGTATGAAAGTAGTTTAGTGGCAGTGGAATTTAATACTACAGTTCCTGCAGAAAAAAAAACATACTTGGGGAAACTCAGACATCTGGTAGTTCCGTTACTGACTTCAGTGGGACCGAGATTTCACAATGGTTCAGATCTTAAAGCATACGCCTGTGAAGCAGAGCACATAGATTCTTTTCCCACACCTAGCACAGATGCTTGCATCATCTTACAAACTTATCTGAGCTCTGTAAATCTTAACATAGAAAGAAAACATGCTATTCATTTAAACGTATAAAGTGTTTCAACACATTAATTCAGAGGAGCTTATTTATTTTTGAGATTGCTACAGAATAAAACACAGTATGTATTTTGAATTAATGATACTGTTCATTTAAAACTTTCTGTCTACTGACTCTGTATTCCTAGCTGTAGCTGATCTAAATGGTGGTTTTTTTCTGAAAAAAATTGTATCTTCTGGTAAAAAAAAATTAAAGCTGATAGTTGTTGAAAAACACTGAAAAGATCAAAATAGATTAACCCCTCCCCACATTTTAAATTGGAAATGCCACCATGGTGATTTTAAGTTTTAATGTTATTTCATATGACTATTACCCCCTATGTTGTATCATCTCTAAGGCATTACTGAATTCCCGCAGTGGGAACAAGCTGTGCCCAAACATTGCTTTCTCCAGATAAAGATGCTTTTACTAGTCTTTACCCTTAATTAGGAGATTATAATAAACCTTTCCCACAACTAATCAGCCATAGCTGTGGGAAAGGAGCTAGCTGTCACACTCCCGGTTAATATAGCTATGTGTGGGCAATATTGATCCTGTTTACAGTCAACACTATTCCTGAATACGGTGACTAAGTGTTCTGTGAGCTGTTTTAGGATTACAAAAACATCAACCCTTTTTTCTAAGATTAAACTCAAAGATTAACAATACCATAAGAAGATAGTAACATAAACAATCACAAATTGCAGACTCTTAAAGAAACATGAAAGAGTGGAATCAAAGGATTTGAAGATTTCAAATTCTAGACAGATAATTCTTAAAATAAAATTCATTTCAATTAATAGTTTTGATGGATTTGGGGCTCTTTCTGAAAAACATAATAAACTGTTTCTCAAGTGACAAGAACACATAAGGTAATTAAATACAGTGAATTGAAATGAATAAAAGAAAATATGAATATTAGTTAATATCTGTATTAAAATATTTCCCAGTGTCTTTATAATTTAATAGCTTATGGTTTTAAAAACTCCGTAAAATACATAAGATATCGTACATAAAATAAGATATTGTCAAATATCTCATGTGTGTGAATGTACATGAATGAATATGAATATACATTTAAACATATAACAGTGTCAGATTCTTACACTGGATGACTCTGGGTGTTAGAGAGGAATATTATGAAGTTCATAATGGAAAATTATGTAATAATATGCCTATAAGGGTTTTTTTCCTACTAGGTAATCAAGAAGTATGTAATATGACAATTTATATCTTTTACATATGTATATTGCTGCTAATATTATTGAACAGGGTCTAACTTTTTACACAGCATAAATATTTTAATCCTTCTTGAATCAGGTGAAATGTTCTCTTGTACTGACATAATTGATATAACGTGGCAGTGGGTTCTCCTATTTAGCTGTGTAAGAAATACATGTTATGACCATTTAAAACAATTATCTTTCCAAAAAATGTTTCCATTTTCTTGCATTTGCATCTTCAGTTTAATTTGCTACAATACATTCTCCCCTCACACAAAAATATTGTATAACCACCACATACATGTTACCAAATTAATCTGGTTTAGAACCTAATTTATATGGCAGGCTAAAAAAAAGGGGTTTTTTTTAGAAAATCATGTTTATGTTCATTAAATCCAAAGATAGGCAGAACTATGAAAAATAGGGCACCTAGTGTCTCTTATGTTGCTGATTTCTTTATAAAATTTTATTTTCTCTGTTTCTTTCCTCACATGCATATTTTTACTGCATTGCTTGTTCTTACTTGACTCAACTGAATAAAACACTGTTTTATACATCTTCCACACTTAAGAGTACATAACCTTTTCAACACTCATTATAAATTTTATTACAAGTTATTCCTAACAGCAATCTTGGGTACTACCCCAGCAATGGTTTTGGTTTTGTTGTTTGGGGGTTTTTTTGAGTTACCTCATAAATTCCTATTCTTAATTTATGCACAAATACCTTTTTTTTTTTTTTCATCTGCAGCTGAGCCCAGGGTTCTCAGTAGTACTACTAACGTATGGGGGAAAAAACAGCTCATATCAAAGTACTACCAATGGTAAGATGTATGTGACAAATGCAAAGTAACAATCAATGTAGCTGCCTGTCCATAAAGAACTGTTCCATTTCGAAGTTCCAACAGATGTCAGTGGAAATCAAAGGCCTGTGTGGCCTTTGTTGGTTTCAGTAGCATGTTGCCACTCAATACTGCTAGTCAGGAAGATAATTAGGCTTTTGTTACTGATTATATCAGCAAAAAATACAATTACTTGGAAGCATACAGCAGCCTTCCCAAGAGACTCATGCATTTACCCTAGATTAAATTAATTTTTATAACTATTTTATATAACACTTTTTATCTGAGGAATGTGCATTATTTTATAACTGTGTAACAGCCAGGCATCAGACAGTACTGTCATTCTTAGTTTACAAAAGAGGAAACAGATAGAGGAAATCTGAATGACCTATAGCTGATGACCAAGGTCATCCAATGAACTGTGCAAAAGTAGCTATAGAAGTCTCTTGGTTTCTCATTCTTATGTTAAACACCAGTTAATCCATTAAAATGTTTATCCCATTATATTAGTCTGTAAAGAGTCATATTAGATGGTGAACTTCTCCAAACCTAAAATTTTTTGGGGGAATACACACAAAACCCTTTCAAAATAATAACTGAAAAGGTTCTATAAAAAGGCAGAAACAAGATCTTACCTGGTGCTTCAGTAGTGAAGTGTAAAAGAGGCACATCAACCCAACGAGTAGGTTCAGAGCATTTTTAGCTCACAGATATCTTACTTTGCTGGACATCAAGGAATTCAAACAGTAATTACATATACTTTGATTTTATTTTTGGCGTGTTTTTCTGAGTGCGGAGCACGTAGTAGTAATTCCTGAGGCAGACTCTTGTGCAGGCAAATGTTCCTGGCAGCTCCGGCTACACGAGGCTGTTGAGTTTACACGGTGTTGCCGAGGCAACTCCCCCCCGGGGGAGCATTTTGCTTGGAGGAGTTTAATTCAAAGAGCAGTAATGACCTAGGAAGACAAACACAGTTGAACCAAGCGGTAGCATTTTAAGTCCTAATCACAAGACAGCTCTCCCAGCACTCAAAACAAAGCATATTTCTCTGTTCTATTTCAATTTATACTTTTAGTTCCTTATCTATTTCCACGTGATTTTAGCTGTGCATTCAGTCCCCTCACCTAAACACTCCCCGTTACTCGTGAATAGTTTATCTCCTTTTTCTCCTTTTTGGCAGTCTTAAACAGCAGACTTCAAGGATAGTTGGTTTTTTTTTGTTTGGTTTTTTTTTTTTTTAAGTAGCAGATTATGCTAAGGGAGAAGAAAGGATAAAAGTGGTACAGTAGAGTCGGGCTCAAGTTGAATTGGAGGGTTTTGAAGGGAACTATTTTGCTGGATGCCAGAAGGCATCCTGGACACCGCTGAGTTGCACAAGCAAGAGGGGGCACCAGGAACGCCAGGCCTGGGGAACACCTCAGCTCCCGGCTGACTGAAGGAGGGTGTATTACTCCTACATTTACAGTTACCCCGCACAACCGGCCCCACGGTGACAAGCTGCGGCGGCAGTCCCGCCCCGGTACCCCGGAGACACGGCCACCCAGCCGTTAAGTCACTCCGTTTACTCCTTGAAGGAGCCGGAAAGTCTCCGGGATCAGGTCGCGCCCTCAGCTTCACCCCGCCGTGAGGTAATGGCCGCAGCGGGCGTCTCCTCGGCCGCGCCCGTGAGGCACTCCGGCCCGCCGCCAACGCGGGAGGGCCGCCCGGGTGTCCCCTCCCACGGAGGCTGCGGGGAAGGTCCCCCAGGGGATGGGGTGACGCCACCGCCACCG